CTTAAATTCAATACACATATTTCTTGTTGCTAGGAGTTTTAATATAATTTTAAATTTTAATTGGTAATAGAATTGCATCATATTGGGCCGGCCCGGTGGCGCACTGCTACAGTGCGCCGCTTGGGAAGCGCGGCAGCGCTCCCGCCGAGGGTTTGGATCCCACATACAGCCCGGCCGCTCACTGGCTGAGCGAGGTGCGGGCGCAACACCAAGGGTTGCAATCCCGTAGCCGGTCCCAGTCCAGTACGGGCGCGACACTGAGGGTTGCGATCCGTTGCCGGTCACAAAAAAAGACAAAAAGGAAAAAAAAAAAAAAAGAATTGCATCATATTAACATTCTTATTCAGCAGCAAATCTAGTGGAAACTAAAATAGAAATAATTATTAACAAAATACCATGATTATTATGAATTCAAGCCCTCACCACAAAGCTAGGGATTCAATAATACATATTTTATTTAAATTTGCTCATAAAAGTAAATATGCCAAATATCATAAATAATCTGAACATTAAACAAATCTTTAAACACATGTGAATTCACCTTTTAAGATTGCAATAAGAAAAATCCTTAAAACCTACCTGGGTATTGTTGCTTTCTTCATCATATTGAAACATTATCTCACCTCTAAAAAATGCTAAAAATAAATTTTCAAAAAGAAGTTTGATACTTATATTTTTATAACTTGAGGATTATATAATACAATACATAAAAAGATTATCAAATTACTTTATAAACACAGTTTCATCAAATTCTTAGTTTTTATTCACATTTACTCTCTTTCCTATTGGTAAATTACTCAATGATTTTTAATACAATTTTCAGAAAATATAAACTATAAATTTTTTTAAAAATATGAACAATAAATTTTATATGGGAATTTAGAAAGAGAGAAAACTCATTCCCTTGTCAAGAAATTTTATCCCTACATGCTTGTCATCAGAGCTTTCTTTCTCTTAAAGATGCTAACTGGGGAACTGTGGCTATAACATTAACTCAAAAAAAAATCTTTTAAAATTGTTACAGTTGCAGTTACGTAGATAAGGGAAAGAGGAAAAAAGTGTTTCTTGGCAGTTAAGCAGACTTTTGGAAGTCTATTTATTCTTTGCCACTTTTCTTTTGTTTTTGTTTTTAAAACACATCCACCAAATGCAATATCTTGCCTAGGAACAAAGCTGAGATTTGGCTTTGAAATCTGAACAGTGCAGAGGGCAAATCCTTTCTTCAGTTGAACAACTTGTGGCTTTTATTTCAGAAACACCAGAAAACCCTTAAAATGCTCACTTTGGGAAATATTGAAGTCAGTTTCAGCCAACCTATTTCCTGCAGGGTATATTCCTAGAGGCTTTGACTCTATCTGGAAATGAATAAAATAGAGACTCCTAAACAGAAGTACATGGTGTGCACTTCATAACCTACAGTGACCAAAAACTGGCCTCTTGAGCAACGGAGCAAGGGTTCAGCCAGCGTTTTCAGTGATAGATCAGATAGTAAATATTTGAGCTTTGGGGGGGCCATGTGGTCTCTGTTACAACTACTCAACTCTGCTGTTGTAGTACAAAAGCAGCCACAGACAATACATAAGTGAATGGGCATGGTTGTGTGCCAATAAAACTTTATTTACAAAAACATGAGGCAGGCCATATTTGGACTATGGGCAATAGTTTGTGAATCCCTGAGTTTGAGGGTTGAAAGCCTCCTCATCTCATCTTCTTTTACTGCACCCCAAACTACAACAACTGATTCCCCTAGCCATGTACTCAGTGGTCTACTTCTACTTAAAAATGGCTGACAAGGTCACCAGACCAGTGATTAACACGATCTATCCATTCCAGCAACTTTTCCACTGAGAACCTCAACTTCTGCATACTGATACTGAAATTTCAATTAATATAGTACATAATTATTAAAAGTAAAGATATTTCATATCTGCATAGAATTACTTATCCATTAAAAAAATCTTAGCTTTTAAAAGCTTATTTAGATTGTGTGTGTGTGTGTGTGTGTGTGCACACCAGCATCCACAATTTTCCCCCTCACATCCTTGTTGAGCACATGTTGAGTTTCATAAACGTGCTGGGATCACAGTGGTAAGTGCAGCAACCAGGAAACCACCACCTTTTGACCCTCAGCCTAACTCTTCCTGGTCAGCTCCCAGTTTTTTCACCAGCCTCCCCTTCTCTTAATAAACCCAGATTGGAACTTGCAAGAAGTGAAAGATTCTAGTTTCTGCCATGATATTGTGGGATTTCTGGTGCCAAAAGAGTCGGTTCCCTGATGAGGTTGTTTTTACCAGACACTATAACAAATGGTCAATTCAGTCACTTAATTGGGGAAAACAGTACTCTGACCAGCTTTCTGGCACCTGTTACTCAAAATGACCAGCTTTTTTTTTTTCCTACATGTTCAATTTTCAAACAGTTATCAAACATTATGTAGAGACAACACTGAACTAGACATTAGTCACCAGCCCAAAACATAGACAAAGCACAAAAATAATGACATTATAGGGAATTCAGTAAAGAGAAGGGGGAAGGAAGGACGAGGAAAAGAGTTATATAATATATGAAAATGAAATGTATCCAACAAGTTTTTTTTTTCTTTAATCACAACCAGCTAATATTTTTCTCCTATATTCTACCTGGAGCATAGTATCAGCAGAAAGCTCATATGAGCAAATCTCGTATTCACATAATAGACAGTGTTTGTAGAACATTCTTTCAATGGGAAGTTTTCTCGTTTTCTAATCTAACCAACCTTAACTTATTTTACTTGATAGTGTTGCCTATGTTTTTCAAACAAATTACTAAACTGTTAAAAGGAACAAGATAAAAGAAAAACATTCCTATAATGACTGTTTATAACTGGAGTCATACTAAGATTACTTTGATATAAACTTGTTACGTTCCTCTTCTCTCTCCCTGTGATCTTTTGTCCAGTTCTGATCTGCCACATTATATTTTTGTTTTTCACATTTACTGTCATTGGTTTTAACAAGGAAGGGGAGCCCAGAAAGCCAAACTCATGTGAGAAAAGTGGTTGTTTCATTCTTTCTGGCCCATGGCAGAAGGGAAAATATTCCTATTTCAAAAACAGCATGTTCTTAAGAGATTTCCATCTCAATTTAAAAAAATAGTGGACAGTCTTAGAGATAACAAAATACACTATGGACATTACTGGAATTAGCATCCAATTGAACTAGGTATATGTGAGTTTTTGACATTCTACCAGACTGATTTGTTTTATTCTTAGCAAGACAACATTCTGTTTCTAAGCTATAATACTTAAGGTCCTATGAAAAAGCTTAAGGGATTTATATATAAGAAGTGACTTCTAATAATTTTTGATTTCATTATTAATGATTTTCATGAACTAACTCAAGTTTATTAGTTATGGATTTAAAGCTACAGTAAAAAAATATTTGTTATAGAGCTTCATGTCTCATATTAAGGAAGTTAATCTATTCTCTCTCTAGACAATGGGAAGATAATTTCAGCCAGATCTAAAATTTGCTTTTGTTTTTATTAGGGACTTTTAGTAGCCAGGTGGTATGAAAAGAGACAGATCGGAGAGGCACACACCACATATTTAACAGGAGAGAAACATACCATTGTTTTCTATGGAGCTAATTTATCTTGCAATGTATAGTGTACACAAGAACTAACCTGAGTCATTGCAAATAGATGACAAATTGCAGATATTTCTCTGAGGTTTGACTCCTGCAAAGAAAATAATAACCCAGCCGGTTAAGCATGTCAACACCTGCACTTATATACTATATTGTCAAGAAATTCACAAATACAGACATCAAATGTGGACCCCAAATAGTATAATCTGGATATAATTGGCTGGATGAATTCCACAAAGACTAAAGGAATGAAAGAATTTTTATTTCTTAGTTGGTCAGCTATGGAACTTGATTCTTTACTATTCTTTATTATGTCAGTGTCTGACCTCCAAATCCTCCCTAAAATTTATCTGTCCCATTCTGAATTAACCCCTCTCCTGTCCAATATAAACAGAGCACCATGAATACAAATCAAGTATAGAGACTTTAAATGGAATAGCCCTGAATCATAGATCTTCCTTCCTATCCTGACTAGGGGAGTCCATAGACAATGCTCTAATGTTGGTCCTAGCTCTTTATACAAATGTATGTATGAAATAACATTAAGGTCATGATATCCTTTCATGGGCAAAAATCACAAAATTTAAAACATATTTGCTGAGCATCTACCATGGTCTAGAAACTTTGGGAGATTCCAGACATAGACTCTGCAGTCAAGGAGCTTACGATCTAGTGGGTGATACTGGCCAGTAAATAAAAAGTTTTAGTGAGGGCAAGATGGAGCGATGGCCAGGACAACAGATCACACAGGCATACAGAGGAGGCTGAGATGAATGGGAGATGAAATGAGGTGTGTTAGAACAAAAAACTGCATACATTTTAACCTGAGGAACACTTTCTCCTCTGGCAAAAGGAGAAGTATGTCTCTTTGGTTTGAAAAGACCTCAAGGTTTACTTCTCTAAGAATCTTTCCTTCATAAATTGCATCCTTTAGGCAAAACATAAGAAATCCATAGTAAATGGGAGAGGCAAATGCTGATAATGTATTAAGCAAAACTGCCAAGGGAAAAAGACTGTCATACTAAGGAATATTTTGCTCTCCTTGTTAGGTCTTGTTTGGTCAGAATTACATATGTAATGCCCAGTTGCTAGTTTATTTCCATTGCAATTGAGTCCTTAGTTTCTTGCTATGAGAAAACTAGTTTGGACACAAACCAACATTAAAATTTGAGTTAGTGTATGTGATATAGTTTCTTCCAGGATGATTTATTAGTGTGTAGGTTATCATGCTTCAGCTAAGTGTTTTGATTCTGTGAATAAATTGAATTTAGGTGTCACAATTTACCTGACATGTAGATTTCTGTATTATTCCACAGCAATATTATTCCACATCAATATTACCCACACCAAAGAGAAAGATTTCATTTTAAATATACTTGCTTATCGATGTAACTCACTATAACATATACACTATGCAAATATTATAGAATATATAGATGATGGGTAGTAATGCTTTAAATGTCTTTTAAACCATTGCTCTCTTGCTTGCTAAGCTTTTCATTCTACCATCTCTCATCTTTCTCTAAATATTAGCTGCCTCTCAATTTCCAGTGATATGTGTCTTTTTGTTGCTCATTCATACTGAGAATTTTCTTTTCTATTGCTAGGGCAGTTATCTGTAAACTCCATCAAGTATATGGCCACAGGCCATTTCCTAAATCATGAGTGAAAAAAACTTTGTAAAGGGTCAGATAGTAAATATTTTAGGCTTTGTGGGTCATATGGTCTCTGTTGCAACTACTCAAATCTACCACTCTACATAGTAGAAAAGTAGCCACAGAAAATGTGTAAACGAATGAGCATGACAGTATTCCAATAAAACTTTATTTACAAAAAGAGGCAGTGGGCCAGATTTGGTCCATTGACGATAGTTTGCTAACTCCTGCTTTAAATTAATCAGAAGCCTATGTTAAGTATGTCTTATGTGCCTAGTCTTGCATCAGGTACTTAAAAGTACATCCATTCTTTGATTTAAAAAGAGTTTGAGGCTCACTCCTCTAAATCCTTCATTAATTGCATCCTGTCGATAAACTCATCAACACCAGCCCCTCTATCTCCCATGCCTCTTAAGTATGTCAGAAATACTTGTGTAATTACTGCTTTTATCTGCATGCATGTTTATGTTATTTGTCTGTTTGTTTGCCTTGTTCCCCCCAAGAGACTAGAAGATTCTAAAGGGTGGGCACTGTGTCTGATCATTATTATATAGCCTCGAACACCTAGTACAACTTCAGGTACCCAGTGCGTATATCTGTTCAATAAGAACAGATTTTATTTTTAAAAGGTAGGAAAACAGAGAAAGAAATCATAAACACCAGCCATTTGTTTAATTTTACTTTAGTTACAAAAAAGAAAGTCTTGATATTGATAATAAGTCATACCTGATGCATTGAAGGTTTTTACTATAGTGATTTTAGTTTTTTCTGCAAAGAAGCAATTTAAATATTAGAGTAGAATTGTTGCTTGCTTTTAAAAAACAATTTGCCATGAGTATCATTCTAGTAAAGTGCTAAGAAAATCACACTGTTGACACCTTTCAGGCACTATCGGTCATCTCAGCAGCAGAATGGATGGGAATCGTATATACAGATCATGTAGCATTGGCATAGGGTGGGTCTGGGAGTTGGACTCCCATGTTTACCCAGTTAAATCACACCCATTACACACCCCACTGCTTGTGCAATTCTACTTCAGTTTCCATGTGCTGCTGCTAGACAAATGAATGTGGACTTACATTTCAGATATGTAGAATTAAGTCACTATCAGGAAGTTCAGGTGATAGGTTGTAAAGAGCAGATGATTCAGAGTAAAAATTAATGTGAAACAGTATACATGGGATCTAAAATATTATTACTATAGTCTAGAATCAAGTGTCCTGCTATTTTTTTCTTAGGAGTTAATACAATACTATCCCCATTGTATTGACAGATAAAACTATAGTCAGAGAGGTTGAGACAATTCACCTACAGTCACACAACAAGCCCGCAGCAGAATCAGGACTGTTCAAAGTCAGTGACTCAAAGGCAAATATTAACACACTCTGACTAAGCCAACCTTAGAAGTATCTTCCCAACACACTTTCGGGACAGAGCCCATGGTTCATTCCCCAGCTTATAAGGAGAACCAGGTTCAGAAATCCTTGCTATAAGGATGGCCAATTAGAAAAGGCTGTGTTCAGGGCACAGATTTGCAAAGAAGCTCTGTCTCCTAGGGGTGGATGGGTAAATTCTGAAGAAAAGACCAAGCTCGGAGCTTGGAGACACACTTAAGAATGATGATGTTATAGTGACAGTTTCAAAAACTTAATTTGTGTGTATGTGGTATCGGTGAATTTCTGTTTTAATGTGTGACCCATGGACAATGATTGGTGGAATTATAGAGGCTAACAGCATTTTGCATTAACATTAAGAATACTTTAAATATATTATTTTGTTTGCCCTAATATTTTCTTTCCAAGAACAAACAAAACATAATTGTGAAATGAACTTTAAGCTTTAGTAACTAAAGTGTTTTTGGGGAAAAATGTTCAACCTCACTAACAAGCAAGAATGAAAAATAAAATCTAAGGAATTCAGAGAAAGATTTAATGATATATGACACAGTCTCAGAAAAGATACAGTGACACAGACATTCTCATCCACTGCTGGCAGGAGTGTTACTGTATACAACCTTTCTAGAAGGCTGTAGATCAAGGGACAGTAGAATACTGCTGACCCATTATGTCCAATCCTTGGAATGTATCCTACAGAAATCAGGGATGAATGCAAAGATGTTGGCACCAGGATGTTCATTGCAACAACTTCTATTAAAAAAATAGAAACAACTTTAAAGTCCAACATATGGTACACAATGGAATACTGTCAAATCATTAATAGCAAGGGACACTGGAAAATACTTATAATTTAATATTAAGTCAAAAAGGCAACATATAAAAATCTATGTAAACTATGACTATTTTACAAAGTATATATAAGGGTACTTCAAAAAGTTTGTGGAAAAATGGAATTAAAAGGTGACACGAATCCTTCCATAAACTTTTTGAAGAATCCTCATATAAATAGAGTATTTGTATATAAATATACATATATATGATACTGAATGGAAATATACCAAATTGTTAACATAATAGTATAAGGAAAGTAGAATTAAAAATGATTTCTGTTTTCTTCTTTGTATTTTTCTATATTCTCCATTTTTTATGAGTAAATATGTTATCACTATTATAATAAAAAAGTTATTTTAAATGGAGTGCTATGTCCATGACAGTTTGGAAGTATGAGAGTGTGGTGACAACGGAATTATAGTTCAATGTCAAGGGTGTAATGAGTCAACAGTGGAAGTCACAGGAAAGTAGAAAAGGAGACAAAGGAAAATTCTTTACTAACCCAGTAGACCACACAAGTGAGAAACTCAAGAAGCCACAAAAGACAGACTATTACATTTAGACATAACTTGAAATTACCTGTTCTGTTTAAAGTAGATAATACACTTGAAGTAGCGTCTGAAATCAAATGATAAAATTAGCATAACTACTGACATGGGTAACAAACGTGTGTCTTCTTAGGTTCCTTAAACATTTCACTTTTCCCCAAATCCAGGAGAAGTTAGAGAGTTTTACAAAAGCCAGCTGGCACTACTAAATGTATTTGCTGCCCATCTCCTCAGCACTATGCATTCTCCAGGCCCCAGAGACAATTCCTGAGCAAATGCTCACTCATTCAAAATGTGTTTCCTAAATGCAAACGATGTGTCTAACACATAGCAACACTCCTGTAGTTAGTAGATTTAAATAATCCCCTTTACAGTGCTTACTATTTTGTCCCTTTTTTTCTATTATAAGGAAAGTCTCTATAATATGTTGAATATGATATTTCTGACATGAATACTAATTTTGATATACAGCCGTGTAGATGCTTAATACATTTTTACCAGTGGTACACCCTTATAAAGCAATTTTAAATAATTCCAGTTTAAATTTGGAGTTCTTGAACATTATATTCCACAAACTTTTAGGAAAATCTTGTTTTGATCTTCTCAGGAAAAAACACAAGGCTTGTGTTACATTATCACATATAAAACACACACACACACACACACACACACAAAATGGGGTCCAAAACAAAATCTGTGGCCAAATCTAAATTGAAGATATTCTTTTCACTGTAAAAAGTAATTGCACATAAAAATGATAACATTCGGTCCTTCTCATTGAGCCAAATATGAATTTAAACCAGTTTCAATCTGTATGAGCTGCCTCTATGATTGTTTAGCTCCTTAACCACCAACCACATGGTGAGATGTGATTTTAACTAAGAGACTGTGAAAAGAGTTGGGTGTGACCACAGTGGGATGGAAGGCTGTCTACCCACAGAGGGGAGGGAACAGGGTGTGCTGCCCTGCCCACCTCCCTTGAACATAGCCCACTTCTTTGCCCTTTTCTCTAGTATGACGAGGAAGCCAATTATTTTTCCATTTCATACTATTTAAAAATTGATAAAATCATCTGTAAAAAGGCTGTCTTTGAACGCTCTGTGCCTCCAAATCCATGCTGAATCATACTGAAGTCACTGGATGTGCTTTTCATATTTAAACAATCTTTCATGTAAAATTTGTCGGCATTGTGTTGGAGAGCAAGACAAATGAAGTACTCCAAATGTGATCAATATTTCTTTTCATTTTTAGAACAGTTAGAGTGGTGGAGGGCTGTCTTCCCTCCGTGATCATAAGAATTTTATCATTTAACCAGAAAGTTTAGGTCACTCTCCAGAGTTGACAGTTTTTTGTCTTTTGTTGTTTGGGGTTATTTGAAACTACTCAATGTATTCAGAAGTAATTTAGAAATGGAAACCTTCAACGCCACTAATCATACTTATATTCATATTAAGAGTTATCAATTTTCACTTGCTTCAGAAAAATTCTTGTAGTTTCAACCTCTTTGTCCCGAGGAGAAAAACATTACAAAAGTATAATGAAAACAAAACTTAACAAATTGGGCTTAATCTAGGTTTAAATTTTTCCAAAATCTTGCCTGGAGTACCATTGGAGTAGGGGACAAGACCAACAAGAAGTGATTCAACTGCAGAAGAAAAAAAAAAAAACACAATATTTAAAAATAAATATGTACTTTGAAACAATTACTTATTAAATTTTAAGGAGTTAGAACTTTTGTGATTAATCGAAAATAAGTAGAAAAGATACTAACAGTCATATCTGCAAGTCTCAATCACTCAGTGAGTATGCATTTAATCAGAAAATTGTAGAGAACGAACCCAAGATGAGGAGCCTGAGACCCATGATCACAAAGCCTGCTACTACCTATGGAATATTATGGAAATAAGTTTAGAAACCACACTAAAATACAAGAGATACTACTTGCAAAAATTTTCAGCCAGAGAGTTCTAAAAAACATCTTAAATAACTTGTTGAACTACAATCATGAAATATATTGGCACACTGGCTTCCATTCTGTTATAATGATGCCTGGTAGCTCTTCTTCCCACAGTGGATTTAGGATTAATAACAAAGAATGCTACCACTCAATACTTTACTGCCTAACACAATTTCCTGGTAAGTTATTTTAAAACATGGCTGCTATTAAGACAATCAATCAAGTTATAAATCTCCTGTGGAATGACTCCACTTACGCTGTCAATCTACTACACACATTTTGCATGTTTAAATATTAAAAAGACCCAAAGGCTTGACCTCTACCAAAACATGGAACAAGCAAACATAAACATTTTACAATTAAAATGAGTTTTGCAGCAGGGAGCCTGACTTTCAGCTGGTATGGACAAAATTTGGGTGTGTCAAGGCGCTTGGCTGGCCTGTTTTAGACTGCTCATGTGTTGGCTGAAACACACGCCCTGTCTGTCCCACATTGCTTCCATATTTTGTCATTTACTACATTTATTTATTTTTTTTAATTACCAAGGCTATTTCTTGAGAAGATGGTTCCTGAGCAATAAGAGTCAAAGTGTGGATATGGAATCCTTTGCTCTTGGGGCAGAACAAAATAATTGGCCAAAACTGGCTTTTAATTAATGACTATTAATTCTTCCAAATGTTGATGAATGGTGACACCACTGCAAAGAAGGGGCCTGTGGGCACAGCTGCCCATCTGTTCCTTGTGCTACACTGGCTCTTACCTTCCAGTCTGGGTAGCTTTCCCCAGGGCACCCAGAACCCAAGCTGTGACTAGAACCAGTGTGTGTCCTCAAAGCCCCATTCTCCGTTCCACCTGAACAAGATTCTACAGCTAGCACCATGATTATGTTTACTGATGGCTATTCTACTGGAAGAAAAATACAGTGGTTCATTGTACCCTAGAAGCTTGGCATGGTAAAAAGAACTTGGAGGCTTGTAGTCCTGGATTTGAATCTTTGCTTCATTACTTAATAACTCATATAATGATAGTTATTATTTATTGAGGGTTTACTCTGTGCCAGTACATGTGTTATCTCATTTCATTATCACAACCACCCTACGAAGCAGGTATGTTATTCTCCCCAAGTTACAGATGAGAAAACCAAGGCTCAGAAAGGTTAAGGAACTTGCCTCAAGTCACACAGCTAGCAATGAGGATGCAAAGAGCAGTGGCCAAATTCAAACCCAGAGAGTCTAGTTCCAGAGCATGTGTGAACATGAGCAGGTTTTATCCTCTCTGAGCCCTAGTTTCATCTATAACACGAATGTAAGGATTCCTATGCTGCCAGATTGAGAGGAGTACGAGAAGATGGCAGAAGACTTCCAGGCACATAGTATGTGCACGAGAAGTAATAGATATTATTTTTAATTTTACTTAAATAAATGAATTAACAACTGTAGAAGCTCATTTTCATACAACTGAGGATAGAATGTGAGTTGACTCCTTATCATAAAAGATTGTTCTGGAATATATAGTATACCAGAAAGAATGCAGAAGTAGGAGTCAAAAAAGCCACATGCTGCCTCTGGGTGATGTGGGGAAGCAGTTGTGCAATCTCAGACAAGTTACTCAGCAACTCCAGGCTCTGCCATCTCATCGACTAGGGGATGGGGCTGGACTACTCTAAGGTCCTGTTCCAGCTAGTGGTCTTGAATTCAGTTTCTGTTCCTGGTTCCTGATGATACGGGTTCTAGTTATAAATTTCTCTTAATTTATTTGCCTTCCCCTTCTAGGGAGTGGTAAGCCCTTAGAAGCCTTTTGAAAAATACTACTTCAGTGGGGGTACTGAGGGAGTATGTTTAAGAGAACATCTCATCTCTTAAATATAAGAACATGTGGTGTGTTTATGTTCTTAATACTCTTCAGTGACTTGTGAACTAGAATACTAAAAATAACTGGCGAAATTAAGCAGTTACCGTAATGAAAACCCACAATGTATTACCCAGCGATTTATTTCCCAGCTTTGTCCAGCAATATGGAAAGATCAATATGCCTGTCCTTTTGTCTATGTTTGCTATTGATTTTTCAGGTGTAGGTTTAATGACATAATTTAATTAAGCTTCTTGGGGGAAAACAATTTTGCTGTATCTATACGATAGACCATACTGTGTGGAGAACTTTTAGAATGACATTTTCCTGAAATTCCCCAAAGTCATAAAATAACAACCTTACCAGATGGTGATAAACTGGAATTATCAGCATCTTCTGTTGAGGAAAAAGGTGATTTAAAATTAGTTTAGTTCACGCACAAATTTGTAGGAGATTAACAACTTTAACGGAGTGAATGTACATTGAGTTACAAATAGCTACCAAAAGAGGGCAGCATGTTAATTTACTATTATTTTCAACAGCCCAATCATGCATGCTTCTTTTTAATTCTCTAGTGAAAAGATATTCTTTTCAATATCTTTAGTGAAATAATCTTTCCAATTTTTGACTGTTGATGTTGCTCCATATATTTTGTTATACTATCATTTTAGTACATTTCAAACTAAAAATGATGACTAAGAACATCAGTTGTTGGCTAATATTCATTAAAATGTGTAAATCTGTAGGTCTGCATAAATTAAATTTCCATTAACTGAGCTTCTTTTTAGCACAGACTTTATACCTATTAGGTCACTTCTTTCTTGTGAGTTAAACTAGATCAGACACCTCTGGTGTACAAGAACTGCTGAATTCTTTATTTTGGGAACATGCTCAGATCCCTTAAAAGAAAAGTAATTCTATTTTTTTTCTCTGAAAAATAATACACGCTTATTGGAGAAACTTCAGAAATCACAGATAAACAAAAACCACTTATAATTTCACCACCCAGAGATAAATGACGTAAATATTTTAGCATATATTCTTTTCTCTCTTTCTATGTGTAATGTACATTTCCATACATATATAGATATATGCATATGTTTATATGTGTATATATGTACATAGAAGGGTCATATCACACAAAAATATTTATAATCTGATTTTTCTCCTGACAGGATATCCTGAAAATTGTTCTCTATCATTAAACAATTTTCCACAACACCATTTGTGATGGCTGCATAGCATTCCGTTGACTGGATATAGCATCTATCTATGTAACAAATTAACTTTTAATGGGAATTTTGGTGTATGCAATTTTTCACGATTACAAACAATGCTGCAATAAATGCTTTTGCCTAAATTTTTTGTACATATGCTTGGCTATTTCTTTTAGAAATTCCATAAATTTTGATTGTCAAAATGCCCTACAGAAAACTTGAACCAATTTATATTACCCTTTGCCATACATGAGAGTGTTACTTCCCCAAGCCCTCACCCACATAGTGTCCCACAAATTAAAAAAAATATATTTTTTTTAATGACAAGGGAATAGTAATTTTCATAAGGGTATCTTGAGATACAATTAATAGGGAAGAATAAGTATGTTTGGAAACTAAAATTGCACAGTGAAACATACCTGGTAGCCTTCAGGAGCCTATTTTCCTGAAATGATGGTAGGGTACTGATTATTTTCTGGGATAATTAACATTATAGTCCTGCTTGAAAGCAGGACTGAATGAGTGCTCAAGTTCCCCAATTACCCTGTAGCCAACAGCAAATGTAGGCAGAGTGGTTAGGTACCCTGGTGTCCTAATTTAACTGAAATGACTTCCTTAGTCTCTGTTCTTCAATATATCCCTCATGCTACTATAATATTCCACCAATCAAAGAATCTGTTGAGTTAACTTTTAAAGGGTTAATTTGAAAAACACTCTTGGGAGCACTAAGGAGCAGTCAGTCATTCACATCTTAGTATGAGTTCATTTGAATTGGCTGAATTCTTCTGATCATCTAGCAAAGACCTACCATAATGGGCAATGTGGAAAAGCACTGGAGAAAATCACATTCAATCTGGGCTACTTTGAGAATGACACTTGTCAGTGTGGGCAGGTGAAGGGGAGTGGGGCAGAGGGTGGCAAAGGCCCTGGGGGAGAGTTGAGTACCAGAGAAGAGGAATGGACAGCGATGTTGAAGGGCAACAGAGGCTAATCTGCCTCCTTCACACCTTGGCCCAGTGGCTGACCATAGGTACCAATGGTTCCAACCTTCTCCACTGCTAAATTGTTTCAACAGAGCTGTGTGCCCACAGGGAAAGGGGCTGGTTTGAGTTTCATCTCTTTCTTAGATATTAGAGGGAATGGACAACTCAAGGGTAAGAGAAGGAAGTTTCCTGGGAAACCCACAGAACTGGTCTTCCATCTCTGGGTAGACAGGTTTGATAGGCATAAACTCACAAGAAGAGCTAAAACTTGACCAAAATGTAATTGAAGGCTACACCAGCCTGGCCCACAGGTAGAACTGGCCTTTTCCATTATGGAACCTATAGGGCTCCCAGTAGCTCCTGACAGGAAAGACAATGATCTACTTTGATGAAGGGAGGAAATCCAGTAAATTAAAGCTAGAGATTTTTAAATTGCTATTTTCTGCTTTTTTTCTTCCTTTGGCATTTTTTTTTTTCTTTTAGGGGCCCACTCGCTCAGTGACTAACATTTATTCACTTTTTCTGTCTCTCATTATGATACTCCACATCACTCCTCCTGGTGCAACATAGAGATATCCCCACAGGCATTACACTTTCCTGAGTATCAGCCTATGTTTGTCTTGGGCTCTCTCCTAACTCATGTCCCATTTGTTCAACTAAAGAGGTGGTCGCCATTTCCAGTGAGTCATATATTTGAGCTCCATGCCACTTGTAGTAGACAAAACATTTCCATTGTTAAAAAGATTCATAAACAACGAAAGGAAAAACATTTAAATTTTTCAGATTTTCCTTTGGAAACGTACAAAGAGCAAATTTTAAAGCATTATTCATTTACTGAAGTCTCGATTTGAGTTAACAAAGTGATTGTGATCTGTCTATAAAATTTACTCAACATGACTCCCTGGTGATTTTTTTAAACAAAGTTCATATATTCCAATTATAATGAGGAGGGTTTGGCATGCATAAGTTTAGAATGGAAGCCAAGCAGAGTCAGAGGAACTGGAAATTCAAGAAACTGACCCCCTCAATGGAATCTCTCTCCCTGTGTTGTTTCCCTGGCACTTTTTTCAAGGTTATTGCCATCACCTCCCCAACTCCAATCCCACACGGCCAAGTGTGGTCTGAGCACTGCTATGTGAATATCTCACTGTCATTGCCTCTCCAACTCAGTATATCCAAGAATTTATCCCTCATTGCCCCACATCATTTCCTTACTTGATCAGTTCCTGAATTCAATTGCTGATAACACCAGCCAAATAATTTAAGTTGAAAACTTCAGTGTATTAGTTTCTTGTTGCTGCTATAACAAATTATGATAAACTTAGTGGCTTAAATAAAACACACATTTGTTATTTTAGTTCTATAGGTCAGAAGGCCAGTATGGGTCTCCCCAGACTAAAATCAAGGCTGATGGTGACGACAGGCTGCATTCTTCTCCGGAGGCTCTAGGGGAGAATCCGTTTCCTGCTTATTTGGGTTATTGGCAGTATTCGGTTCCTTACAGTTGTAGGACCAAGGTCCTCATTTTCTTGCTGGCTATAAATGAGGGCTGTTCCCAGAGTCTAGAAGCCACCTACCTTTCTTGGCTCATGCCCCATTCCTCCATCTTCAAAGCCAGCAACAGTGGGAAGGCTGGGGGGCCTTCTCACATGGCCCCCCAAACTCACTCATCTGTCTTCTTCCACATTTAGGAACTTGTGTGATTCGATCAATCCTATCCAGGTAATCCACCCAGGTAATAATCTCCCCATCTCATGGCTCTTAATTTTAATCACATCTGCAAAGTCCCTTTTGCCATGTAAGGTAACATATTTACTGGTTCCAGGGACTAAGACGTGGACATCTTTGGAAGAGCCATTATTCTTCCTCCCACACTCAGAAATCCAGTTTCCTAAAATTACGGAGAATATGAGCTGCAAGGAACCATCCTTTATGAGGAAATATCCCACAGAGGTTAAAGCAAAGGGCCCAGAAACAGAGTTAGTTTTAACAATAGAGCTGAGTCTACAAACCAAGAAGCTAACTCTCCGGCCATTGCTGCCGATGGCTCCCTTCCTGGTCCCCCGCCACATCCAGTCGTAGCATCCCGTGTGGCCTTCTCGCTGCAACACGGGGATGTCATAGGGATTCAAAAGAGACAGTATAGTGTCCTCATAGGAATAGCAAGCACGGATTGATGCTTCCTGTGATCCAGGCTTAGCATACAAAGGATTCCACATGCATCTTATTATTTAATCAGCCAACAGCTTTGCAGATGTGATTAAAATTAAGGACCATCAGATGGGGAGATTATCATGGATTACCTGAGTGGGCCCCATTGAACCACATGAGTTCTTAAAAGTGGAAGAGGAAGGCAGAAAAGTGAGTCCTAGTGATGCCACGAGAAGGCCCCCCCCCCCCCGGGGA